TCCCCCTCTGCCCCCCCATGCCGCCACGCCCCCAAATACTCCTGCCCCGCCTCCTGGCGTACTATGGGGGCACGCCGAGTGACGTCATCGCCCGGCGCACACTTGCCTACGGCCGCAGCGTCCTCCCTGGCCAGGCTCTTGCAGCGCAGCCTCACCCCTCCCCGGTTGCTGGGAGACCGGTGGGGTTTGAACGTGGAGCCCCAGCACTACACTATGCATGCCGCCACGCCCCCAAATACTCCTGCCCCGCCTCCTGGCGTACTATGGGGGCACGCCGAGTGACGTCATCGCCCGGCGCACACTTGCCTACGGCCGCAGCGTCCTCCCTGGCCAGGCTCTTGCAGCGCAGCCTCACCCCTCCCCGGTTGCTGGGAGACCGGTGGGGTTTGAACGTGGAGCCCCAGCACTACACTATGCTTTGCTTCCTGGCCGGGCTCGTGCGGTGTATCCTCGCTCCTCCCCAGGAACTGGGAGGTCGGCGGGGTACCAGTGCAGAGCCCCAGTGCTTTATCACAATGCTGTGATAGGAAAGGGGGGAATGTGTGAGCTGTCAGCAGCCATGGCTAGATATGAGTCTCTAGCAGTTAGTCATGGGGAACTTCAGCAGGCTCGTTAGTTTTCCCAAGCCAGAGATGATAATAAACTAGACCTGTCTGAGATACAGATAGAGTAATCTTAGGAAGAGAAATATATGTATGCAACATTTAGTTGTTCTAACCATTTTTTTAGATGATGTCTTCCTTTTGGCAAATAAATACTACTTTGTTTTGACTAAGCTATTTTAAGCCACTTTAACTAGCTGCTGATCACAAGTCTCTGGAAGTTAAGGGTTTACAAGTGCTAAACCCACCTGGCCTATCAGGTTAACCTATTTGGTAAATAGAGAGGCTGCAGCCTAGCGATCTCGTCTAAAAACAAAGTGTGAGAATCACGGGATTCCACCAAGAAGAGAGGAAGGTAGCAAAGCCTGTCTCACAGGACTGAAGGTGAGAGAGAGTTAAGTGTTCTAAAGCACAATTTGCCCAATATCCATGATACTAAATAGCAAGTCTGGATAATACTTGACAAACAGGCAGGAAAATACAGTATTTGTAGAGTAAAGACAGGAGATCAAATGCAACAGTAAGTAACCAAACCATAACGTTTTGACATGTGTTTGTTATTCCACGTTTTTGCTGAGAATTCTTTTGTCTGTGTGTACTCTTCTTCATTGATGTTTATAATTCTGAGTCCTCATTTCAGAGTAAGAGTGTATTGTAAGAAGAAACTTTGACTCATGATACCATGTACATAAAGAAGGCATATCTGGCAAAGATTACTTAAGATATTTGCTTTTGAATGGGACTTCAGAGACTGCTTAAAATTATTGGGACATTACAGATTCAGCATTCTCATTTAGTTGAAAGAAAAACTGAGGCATGGTATAAATTCAGTGTGAGATTATAGGAGTTGAATGCTAGCATACTCCTTTGTAGGATTCCCTGTTCAGCCTGGCTTATTAGTCCCCCACAATCCCTGCCTGGTCTCCCCCAGGAGTATCCTGAACCTACTTCTGCAGATCATGGAAGCTGGGATAGTGAGTGTTCTAACTGGCAGAATAAGAAGCTTTGTGTTTCATCCTACTTCTTAGGCAATTGACTAATCCATTAGGCATAGTTTAAGCATTTTCTCTTCTATGTGTATGAAGGATCTGCTTATGTGACTTCAGGAGAGTGGAATATAGAGTTGTGCAATGCACAACAGGCATATTGGGAATCTGTCAGGGTCTATTGAGAGGCTTTTGGAACTGGTACCAAGTGCATGTAAGGAGGGACAAACAGTCCGATGTCTGGGAGCCTGGGGAGATAAGACCATCTCCATCAAGACAAATCTCTGACCCAAGAGCAAACACAAAGCAGTAAATTAATGGATTGGCTTTAGAACTGTTCCAAAGTCCACCTACAGTGGGAAAAACATATCGACATCTAGCTCCTGACTGAGCTGTCTGAGGGTATGTCTACACTACAGCGCTAATTCGAACTTAGTTCGAATTAGTTAATTCGAACTACGCTAATTCGAACTAACGCATCCAGACTAAAAAACTAGTTCGAATTAGCGTTTTGCTAATTCGAACTAGCATGTCCACATTAAGTGGACCCTGAACTGGGGTTAAGGATGACCGGAAGCAGTGCCGGCACGGCATCAGATGAGGACTTAGAGCGTGGAGCTGCTGTCTCAGGCTAGTTGAGGGCTGTGCTTAAAGGGACCCGACCCCCACCCCAGACAGACAGTTCTCAGGGGTGCCCCGCTTGCAAAGCAGTCCTGGCTTGGATTGCCCGGAGTACCCACACTGGGCACATCACAGCACTCGGCCATCAGACCGGCTGCACTTGCCGCAGGCTGCCATCTGGGGAGAGGGAGCAATTGGGGGGCTGCAGGAGAGCTTCCACCCCCAGAAGCCCGCAGAGCCAGCCCATGAGATATGAGGCAAGGGTGAAGAAATTGGACTTGTTTACCTTGGAAAAAAGAAAACCAAAAAGGGTCATGAGAGTAGCTTTCAAGTATCTAAAAGAGTATCATAAGGAGGAGGAAGAAAAATTGTTCTCCTTGGCCTCTGAGGTTAGGATGAGAAGCAATGGGCTTAAATTGCAGCAAGGGAGGTTTAGGTTGGACATTAGGAAAAACTTCCTGCCTGTCAGGGCGGTTAAACTCTGGAATAAATTGCCTAGGGAGATTGCGGAATCTCCATCACTGGAGATATTTAAGACCAGGTTAGACAGACACCTGTCAGGGATGAGCTAGGGCAACTCAACTTTTGAAGCCCCATGGGCCACACTGATACTTATAGAACATGCTGAGGGCCTCAACTTAAGTGTGATTGCATATGCCAACAAATATATACAAATAGCTTCTCTCACACTGACAGGCATGAATGGATAGTTTGCTTTTGCACACTTAATAAAGTCTCTTTGAGAAACTCCCAACTACCTTCAACTGTTTCTCTTCTTAGTCTTGCTTCCTATGGCTATGTCTACACTGCACAGTTATTTCAGAAGCTATGTTGATCCCCACATAAACCCAAACTATCTTATTTCAAAATAGCTTATTCTGAAATAGGGAGCCTCTACACAGAGCTTATTTCAAACCAGAGCACTCTTCCTTCAACTTAGAATGGAATAGAATAGAATCATAGAGCTGGAAAAGACCTCAGAAGGTCATCAAGTCCAGCCCCCTGCTCTAGGCAGGACCAATTCCAACTAAATCAACCCGGCCAGGGCTTTGTCAAGCCGAGACTTAAACACCTCTAGGGATGGAGACTCCACTACTTCCCTAGGTAACCCATTCCAGTGCTTCACCACCCTCCTAGTGAAATAGTTTTTCCTAATATCCAACCTGGACGTCTCCCAGTCCCAGAGCCTAAGGGTGTGTCTACACTGCCCCCTTACCTCGAAATAGAGTGCTATTCCAAAACGTTTCTTTACCCTCGTGGAATGCAGTTTACAGAGACATCAGAATAGGGAGGCTGTTATAGTTCAAAAGATTGGACTTGCTCAAAAGAGGCAGAATAGCTATTTCGGGATACTTCCGGGAGCCCAAAATAGCTCCACTGTGTAGATGTAGCTCTTGCTTGAGAGTTTGCCACAGCCATGCATCCACAGTTTGTGATGTATAGTCTTTCTTCTGGGCCACTCCAGGTTCTCTGATTCAGGTGCCCTTTTCCATTCCAGGCTCCATCCCTACCTTTTTCATGCCCACCCCTCCTTTCAAGCCTTCTTCCAGCACCCTCCCCACTCTAGACCCTAATGCCCTTACCCTCTCCTCTCGCAGCATCACCCTGTCCCCTTCCCACTGACACCTCCCCTCCTGCCCTTTTCCTCATTGTCTCCACTTGGCCCCCTGGCAATTGTATCTTCCCTCTCCCCTCCCCCTCTGCACAAGCCCCTTCCTCTCCCACCCCTTTCCACTAGTTTTCCCTCTGCCCTGCCCTGCCCTGCCCTGCCGTACCTTCTGCCTTCCACTTTGTGTGGCCAGAGTCTGCGCTCTGACCCCAGAAGTCCCCGGACTCCGAACCGGAAGCTAGGCCGCGTGTCACCACGCAGCACCGAACACTTTTAATGTCCCGGGCCGTGATGTTACGTCACGCCCAGGTGTCTCCCCGGTCACCTGGAAACACTGCGCATGGCGGCAGCAGCAGCCAGCAGCATGCGCGGGCAAGAGGGAGCCGACTGAATGCTGCGCATAGCAGAGACCGTCCGGGACTGGGGGGTGGAGGACAGCCATATAACTCGCTGCCCATACCAGGTAAGCTTGCACAGCGTGCGCTTGCTCTCATCCCGGCCTGGTGCCCCCTTAGTGTGGCGCCCAGGGCAATTGCCCCCCCTGCACTTCCTTCGCTACTCCTCTGTCTGGGACCCAGGAGTGGGATTACCTTGCCACACTCTTCTTTATGTTATAGCCTTCTAGCTCCTGGCAGCTCTGTAATCCAGCTGAGTCGCTTGCTTGCTTTTTATAATCACCTGATCTTTTGCAAATATGTCTCAGATCAGCTCCCTCCCAGCTACCATAGATCAAGCTATGCCCATTTCCTCTAAAAGAGTGTTTTTGGCTATCAATCCCCATGACAATTAACTAGTCTAAACACAGTTATATGACAGACTCTTACACTTCACCCAGTTACCCCTGCGTTTAGCTCAATAACTTGTTTTGATGAAAGCATACTTTCCAGATAGGCATCTGTCAGCTGACGGTCAGGGCAGTGAGTCCCTTATGACCGGCTGAAGTTCTTTTAAATTGTGCTTGGTTCTGTTACAGCAACTGAAGGAGTCAGGTTAAAGCTTAAACAGTTACTATTTATTGTTACAGGGTAAACTTAGTTGTTAAATGCTACTACTGTGTTACAGATAACACAGACACTACAAAGGACAGGACAGAAATTACACTAATAAGTCACTTACAGGTACCATGAAACCCTTTGGTTCTCTGAGCTCTTATTAAATGCATGCAAAATAGACACATAGCAGGTATATATTCTCACCCCTGCGTTCCAGACTTGGCGTGGCCAGCGTCTTTCTCTCAATCCCTCGGGAAGAAGTAGGGCGAGGTTGGGCGTCCCACAGACCTCGGGAGACAATCAATACCTGCCAGCAGGTATAGATGATTGGAGCTCAAATGGGGTGGGCGGCTGAACCTCTTTTATACCCCTTGGGTCATGTAGGCTTCTTCCTGGGCTCAAGTGGCCAAATGCCAAGTTTCCCGTGACGGGTGCAAAGCATAATTTACATCTGGGAAAATGCAGACAATGGGCACCTCTGGTATGTGATGGGCGAAGATTCCTCTCCTGGGACAGTGCAGGCATGTCAATTACTGGTACTAGCCATCAGGGCGACGGGAGGCCCCGGGTCGTCAGCTAGCCCATTTACTGTCTGGTTTCTGTTTATGGTAGAGTCAGGGACAGGCAGCACACCTGCGTTCCCAGGGCATCAAAGGCTGACTGCCTTTCTCTTGCTCTCGGGGGGGTGGTGGGACAAGATGGGGTTTGTGGAAAAACAAGATGGGGTTTGTGTCTGGCTACAGCATCCATTCTTGATTTTGAAAATATCAAAAGAGACTGTCACTTTTTCTCTCCAAAGTTAATCACCCTCACTGCTTTTTTTTCACCTTATTTCCCATGTATATATATCTGACTTTAGCTGCTAGTCATTATTTCTTGTTTGCTTTTCTCTGCTATATTACCGAGTCATTTAGGCTATGTCTAGACTGCAGGCTTCTTTTGGAAGAAGTTTTTTTTCTGCTTTTTCAAAAGATAGCATCCACGCAGAATGGACACTATTTCGCATTTAAGCTGTGATTACTATGGACGGAATGGCCACGAGGGTACCTGAGCTCTTTCCTCTTCTTTTGAAAGCGCTCTTTCGGAAAAAGGCTTCTTCCTCTTAAAAAGAGGGTTGCCAATGCCGGAAAAACTCCCTCTGATCTTTCAGTTTACTTTCAGAAGAATACGATTGCAGTGTGGATGTAACTTGGGTTTTGTCAGAAAAACTGCCATTTTTCTGACAAAACTCAGTAGTGTAGACATACAGTCATGTATCCAGTATTCCCCTATGTTGGTACTTATACATGGCATCAAATAAACTCTTAGTTTTCTCTTTGATTGAGCTTTTTAAGTCTCTCAATGCATATGGCATTTTCTTCACCTCTTTTTTGTGGTTCTTTTCTGCATCCTTTCCAGTTTTTCGCTATTGTTTTTAAAATGTGGACACCAGAACTCTACAGTGTTGAAAATTCATCACTGTAATTTTCTGGCATTCAGATTAAGCCCTATTTCATTTTAAGTCTGTACAAAACCACCTTTCTGATCCTTCATAGCCTCTCTTAGATGGGAAACCTGATCAACCCTAATTACAAGCTCCTGCTGCACTCCATTCAGGGAGATATAAAGCAGTGGTTTTCAAACTGTGAATCAGGACCCAAAAGTGGATTACAGCCCTCTTTTAATTGGGATGCTAGGGCTTGCTTAGATGTGGGGCTTTAACCTTGGGTAACAGGACTAAGGGTGTGTCTAGACTACTGAGTTTTGTCAACAAAAGTGGACTTTTGTCGACAAAACTATACCTGCGTCTACACTACCGCTGAGTTCTGTCGACATAACGTCGACAGAACTCAGCAGTTTTGTCGACGCTGGTAAACCTCATTTTACGAGGCATAACACCTTCTGTTGACAGAGTTCTGTCAACAGAAGGTGTTATTGCCTGTAGGGTTGCGTCTAGACTACAGGGTTTTGTCGACAAAGCAGCTTGCTTTGTCGACAGAACTGAATGTGTCTAGACGCTCTATGTCGACAGAAGTTTTGTCGACAGATACTGTTGACAAAACTTCTGTCGACAAAACCCTGTAGTCTAGACGTACCCTTAGTTTTATAGGCCCTTTGCTTCAAACTTCAGCTTTGGGGCCTGCATTCAGGGTGGGGTGCTCAGTCAGGCTGAGGCTTCAGTCCCAATTTATCTCTCTCAGTCATGTAGTAATTTTTGTTGTCAGAAGTTTGAGAACCCCTGATCCAAAGATTTGGCGTATTCACTAGCATACTTATGTCTGTTGTGTCACAATAGCTCTCAAATTAGTGTGGATAGTTAGAGTTTTAAAACTTTCTCCTGAGAATTTAACATCCTTATTTCATTTGATTCAAATTTCTTGCAGTGTCACTTCAAATATCTGTTTATATTGTTAGTTTGGAGGATGATGAGTAGGAAATTCCTTAACTTCTTTGCACTAGAGATCATATTTTCCCAAAATCTACACTAATGTGCAAAATCTCTTTGCTCCTTCTCCCCACAGATCAGAGGCTTTGAAACTGCTTACTGCATAGATAGCATGGGGCATACCAATGGTGGCTTTGTAGAACTTGGACCATGTCACAGAATGGGAGGAAATCAGGTAAGTAGCCTTGTGGTGAGAAGTTTGAAAGAGATAGTTGGTGCAGTAAATAATCATAACATTGTTTCTCTGATAAAGTTGTTCCTAAAACTACCATGTTTTCCCAAAAAAGTAGATAAAATGGGAGGAAAAAAAGTTGAGTGGACTGTACCAGCTTTTATGGGTGGGAATTTGGGATTTGTTTCCACTTAGAAAATATTCCTGCCACCCAATTTGGTGTCTCAGTTATTACTTCTCAGAATTGTGATAGAGTTATAGGTGTGCAATGCATTGATGTTCTAAATGGCTTTCCACTACCAGAGACAAGAAATCAAATACAAATTCATTTGAAAGTGAAGCGGAGTTAAATTGACAAAGCTTAGTTCCTAATAGATGATTGTAATAAGACTATTGCATAGCTTGGTCCAAGTCTTCACAATTTTGTCATCTCACCCACACAATGACAAATGCACAACCTGCTTGAGGCAGTAATGTAGCTTAATCTTCTTGAATTGGATACATTTAAATGTTGAAAGTCCATAAATTTAAAAATGGCTCAAAGTAAAATGGTAAGAGCCAGGTTAACAAAAAATTGTATTTCTTTCTCTTGCTCGACTGAATCATATTCAGTTAAGCTTTGTCAGTAATGTGGTCACATACAGGATGATAGCCCTGTTAAAATCTTGTTTACTTGGCTCTCAATGTAAAAATGTCACTGTAGTTTAAAATATAATGCAGTACTCTGTGGAAAATACATTTTCAGCATATAGCACTTTAAAAAGCCTGTCACAAAGTCATCTCTTTTCAGTTCTAAAATCTTACCTTAATAAAATGCCACTCTAAGAAGTAGAAGAAATTATCTCTTTCTATTTCAGTTGGTAGTTTGACCTCTGTGCAAATGCTCTGTAGTTTTTAAATTTATTATTATCTTGATTTGAAAATACTAGTGAGGAGTCGGACGTAAGTCCAGTGGCTGCCAGCTCTTTGAAAGATAGTGATTATATAGCTGTCAAACCGCAGATTGATTTATCCATCTTGTCTCAGAAGACTCAAATAAAACTTTTTGCATTTATCCTCATTGTTCTTCTCTTAATTTAATTCTCCTATATATTTTGTTTTCTGAGCTTAGAAAGAAGGTATTTGTTATGCTAAATCTCTGATAGTGAAAAGAATATCACCTAAAATATATCATCCCTGTTCAAGCAAAGTTAGGTGTGATCATCATTTCAAAAAAATATTCTGGATGATTTAAATTGTTATAGTATTGCTTGTAAAATTTCAGTTACCTTATAAAGTTCACCTTTTCGGTTTACTGTAATAAAAAGATGTCTTAATTTTCCTTTAGCTTTTCCGAATAAATGAAGCTAATCAACTTATGCAGTATGATCAGTGTTTGACTAAAGGACCTGATGGATCAAAAGTTATGATTACACACTGTAATCTGAATGAATATAAGGAATGGCAATATTTTAAGGTATGTGGCAGAATATGGTTCCAGGGTAGGTGATTTATGAGACTTTTTTTACATCCCATTGTGTTAGATTTGTTTTATTGTGCATAAATCTGGAAGGGAAGTTCTAGGACCAGATTCACTGAACTTGGTGTGGCAAAATATAAATATCATTTTCCTGTGTCAGGCTTTCCCCTTGCTTTAGGAAAGGAATTCAGTCTGAGGCCATGTCTATATGCAGAAGTTCAATTAAGATGCGCAAAATCCATCTACAGTGAACCCTCGCTACTTCGCGGTTCGACCATCGCGGATTCACGTATATACATAATGTAATGAAAAAAGTCCGCGAAGTCGTGAATCCGCGATGGTCGAACCGCGAAGTAGCGAGGGTTCACTGTATTGACAAGAAGATTTTGAAGCCAGAGTATTTTACAACCATAGAGACAACAGCAAAAGCTGAAGGAAAGTTCTTTTCAGAAGGTGCCAGTCATATCTTTGGACTTTCATAATTTCATACATGGCAGCACTGCAAAGTTATTGATACAAAAATTCTCTTTACTACAAGAGTATCTAGATTGATTTTTAGACTACATTTTTTGTTTGTGTTGCTCAGAGGGAGACCACGAGGGTTTTGAATAGACTACTTGCAGTGTCAATCTGATCTTTTAAAAATATAACTCATTGAAACAAAAGCCCCAAACCAGTCTTTGAAGAGACAAAACCATTCTGTCAGCTATTTAAAGTTTTAATGATTGAAAACAGGCTTCTATGAGGAGAAGAGGCAAAAGGGGCAGTAGCCCCAAGACCCGGTGATTCAAAGGGCTCTGGGGCTCCTGCCCCCCTCAATTGCTACCATGGCAGTGGTCAGAACTCTGGACCCTTTAAATAGCCACCTGGAGCATTGCACAGCATGCTGTGGGTGACTCTGAGGTCTGGGGGGGATGCATGCTCTGAACTGGCTGCCATTGGCCCCCCCTTCTGCTCAAGACCCTACCCCTTCTGGGAGCATGAAGCCACCCTCCCCCTTGCCTAGCAGCTAATTGTGTTGCTGGAGTCCATGTACCTTAATTTGAACTTTGGCATGATCTCCACAATCAGAGGTCAATGGGAGCTATACTCCTGTTGACTTCCCTTATTCCTAGCAATTCAAGGAGTACTAGTGTTGACGGAGGGTGCCTTCATCATTCAATTTAGTGGGTCTCTACACTAGGGATATTAAATTTAGTTTAATCAACAAGTCAGCGGAATTTCCATCTACTAGTTGATTTGTTGATAGCAGGGGAGCCACAGTGGAGTTAGCTCTCAGGGTTGAGAGCTAATCCTGCTGGAGCTCTGCCTTTTAAATGTATGAAGAGCTGTCAGGCTTTTCATACATTTAAAAGGCTGGAGTGCAGTGGGGGAGGGGAGCCGTCACGAGCTGGGAATCAGCTGTCCTGGTGTGCATCAGCTTTTTAAGAGCTGGTCTTCCCTGCCAGCTCTTAACACATTTAAAAGGCTGGTGCCTAACACTGAGGCCCCGACACAAGCTGGGACACCTGATTCCTAGCTCGTGCCAGTCCCCCACGACTGCACTTCTGCTTTTCAAATTAATTAAGAGCCAGTAGACTCTTAATACATTTACAAAGCAAAGGTGCACTATCTAAGACTGGGCACCAGCTGGGAATCAGCTGATTCCCAGCCCTCTGCCTCCCTTGCTCCCTGTGGAGATGGTCTTGGGGGAACTGGCTTTTAAGCTGGCTCCCCCCAGTATTGGCTTCTGCTCTCCCTGCCCTTGCTGTCTCTGATAGAGGCAGCGGGGGCAGGAAAAAAGTGGCTAGTCAAGTGACTACTCGACTAGTCACTTACATCCCTAGTCTTCACTAGATCCATTAAATTGAACGCCGCAGCGTCGATCTCTGTATAAGTATAGACATGTCCTGAAGGAAGGTGGATTTTCTTGACACTACCTGCTCTCTCCCAGAATTTCCACTGTAGGAAGGCAGCTTTAAATTCCAACAGGACAGCTATTGCCAAGGAGGAGGGAGCAGGGCCATCCCTACCAATATGCTAAGTAGCACACCATGAAATCTGGGGCAGCAAATAGCTCTAAATCTCATGGTGTCCTAAGCAGCTGTGTGCTACATAAGGGGCAGTGCCAGCTTCAACAGCCAACCCAATCTGCCAGTTGACCCCGTTGAGAGCTGCCTATAGGGGGATGCAGGGCCTGCCCATAATCCACCCTTTTGCCCTAAGCTCTTGAACAACACAGTCTCAGGGATTAGTGAGGGCCTGGTGTCAGCAGCAGAGTCAGGCCTGCCGGTGCACTGGCGGCAGTGGGAAGTGAAAAGACCTGGCACCAGCCACTCCATTGGCTCCCAATGTTGTTACATTTCCTGACACCCAGCTGTTCCACCTCTTCCCCTGAGCAACATGGCTGGGAGCCAGCAGAACAGAACAGGCTGAGGCTGGGTCGCTTTGCTTCCCGCAACTGCAGGTGAATGCAAGGGCAGGCCTGCTGCTTCCCTGTCCTGCTCCTGCCCCTCAGCACTGAGTACAGCCCCGCTGCAGCAGGTCTGTGTTCCCCTCTCTCCCACAGAGCAGGTCCCTTTCCCTTAGGGCAGGGTGGGGAATGACTGTGTAGGGCACCAAAACTTAGAGGGACAGCCCTGGGAGGGACAAAAAACTGTTCTCCTTAACCTCTGAGGATAGGACCAGAAGCAATAGGCTTAAATTACAGCAAGGGTGGTTTAGATTGGACAGTAGGAAAAACTTGTGGTCAGGGTGTTTAAGCACTGGAATAAGGAGAAGGTGTGGAACTTCCATCATTGGCGATTTTTTTTAAACACCTGTCAGGGACAGTTCTCAAATGTCATTGCACCACGACGCCCTTCAACAACAAAAATTGCTACATGACACCATGTAGTGAGGGGAGACTGAAGCCTTATCCCACCAAAGCCCGGTCACCCCAGATGGGGAGCCAAGGAACTTCAGCCCAAGCTACAGTACCTGTAACCTGAGCCCTACCACTTTGGGCAGAGAGGGCTTGGACTTTGGTTTCAGCCCTGAGTAGAGGGAGCCTGGCTTCAGTCCCGGGTCCCCGCAAGTTTAAGGCAGCTCTGGTGACCCTATTAAAACAGGGTCCCAACCACATTTTGAGAACTGCTAATCTAGATAATACTTAGTTCTGCCATGAGTGCAGGGAACTGTACTAAATGACCTCACAGGGACATTTCCAATCCTATGATTCTGTGAATATGTGATCATAGCAGCCTCCCTGCTAATGCACTGCCCACTAATAGAGTCTTCAACAATGCCTGAAGCTGGCATAAACTCTTGGGAGAATTTAATAGCTTGAATATGATTTGTAATTTGATTACCTGGCATATCTCTACAGAAATAGTATTCCATTTAAATTACATTTTTCAGCAGTGCTGAGAGAGCAGAGTGAAAGTACAGCAATGCTAGTTCTATTTCTGCTAAATTTAATTAAGTGCATGTGTTATTGTTTGTCTTATTCAGTATTTGGTTTTGTTCTTTTAAGTTAGCTGAGTAAATATTCTCTGAGTAAATGCTGTCTTGTGTTTTCCAAATGTGCGTGGCAGGTATGTAATGCTGTTGTGAAAGATCTGAATTTTTAAATGAAGTATTTACTTCATGGCTTGTAATAGCTGTCAAATAAATATGAATTTAGGTATGGGTACAGGTTGGACCTCACTGTTCTGGCGCCCTTGGGACCTGAGTGGTCCCGGATGAGGGAATTTTCTGGACCAAGGAAGGTCCCCTGTCTCCGGCATCCTCACCCCACCACCAGGTCTCCCCTCCCCACCACCAGGTCTCCCCTCCCCACCACCAGGTCTTACCTCCCCACCACCCACAACACCAGTCCCGCTGCTGGCTGGCACGTGGCTCCAGTGAATGTAGGAGGAGGGAGATGCAGACCCCTGCTGCCTGCTCCAGCCCTGCTAGTCCCTCGGTAGCTGCTTGCCAGCTGCTCACACCTGTAGCATTTGGGAAGCATGTGATCCATTGTTTCCTCTCACACACGCATCGCCTCTGCTGGTCACTTACAATATTTGTCTACTATAGTGAATCAGTTATGTGACCATAGGTTTTCAGTAGCAATGTTCCTATACACCACTCAGATATCCTCAAGAAAGATCTATTCAGAATATTCTTTGTCTTTTGCTGACCTTTTTTGATTTAGGGGCAGAGGCTATTTCATAGCCCCACTTCTCCCTGCTAACACTGGAAAAAGGAACACGTGGGAGAACTAAAGCAAATCATCACTTTCACTCCAAATATTTACATTTCTTTGGATGTTGGCATTATGGTTAAAACTTTAGGTGAAACATAAACAGCAGGAACAGATGGTAATACTAAGCAGTACAGGTCTTGTTTTCAAACATTTATCTTAAAAAAAAAAAAAAAGTGTATCCTCGATTTTTTTAGATCAAACATTGAAAACGTAGTTTAGAATCTGTTATGCAGAGGCAACCTGTTTCCTATAAGGAAAAACAGGCTTGTATGCAGAAATTGCTGGGGTGTGTGTGCTTTTTTTGTAAATGTGGAATGCAAGGGTGTGAATGTGCCCCTTCCCATGGTCCTTCCCCTCCCCTCTCTCCCCACACACACAGAGCAAGGTGCAGCCCTAGCCTTACTTACTTGGTGACTATGCAGGGGGTACAGTCACATCCTTCTCCCTCCCCCACATATGGGCTTGATACATCAAACATATTTATCTTTGGGTTCCTTTGTCTTTTACATAGAAACATTCATCCATTACTTGTAAATTTTGACCCTCACACACATATCCCAAATTCTCATGGGCCACACACTGAAACATGTTACTGGCTTTCCATTGTTGATTTTCTTTATATGCCCAGGAATGATAATCAATGGAATATATAATTAATTTTTTTGTCAGCTGGATTCCCATAGGTACCACTGGATAGATATCAAAGGTTAGACTAGGGCAGGGGGAAGGATGGGGTCTCTGAGGCTCAGTGCTGCCCCCCCCCCAGCATTGGGGAGCCCAGGCTGGTATTTCACCCCCTGCTGTCCCACTACGGAGCTGGAGCACACAAAATCTATTGGGCTAAGCCCCCATAGGCTCTGGTGTGCGAGGAGAATATGGAGAGTGTCTTTCTCCTTCTCAGTCATGGGTCACATCAGAGAGGAGAATGGGTTTTTTTGTTTTGTTTTTTGCTTTTCACTTGTGTGCGGCCTCAGACTGATTTTTTTTTTTTGGTGGGGGGGAGGGAGGCCTCGAACCAGAATAGGTTCCCCACCCCCTGGCTAGGTATACAGTTATTACATATGCTTCTAGAACCATTTGATCTTTGTTTAGCGTAAAATTTACCAATTTCCACCATGCCTTTATTGTCTCTCCCCTTCTGTAACATTTTCCCTCAACAGTTTTCTTATTTCCAAAAGCAAATTTCCTTGCATACCTTCCCGGATTATTTGAATGACCAATTTGCTGACTTATTTCCTGGGTCTGTGTACAGGCTAATGCTAGGGACACATTTTCTTGCATTGATCCCATAAATCCTGCTAACAGTAACAAATCCTTTTTCCCCTGCTGTTGCAATACTGGCAATATTCTAGAAAATAATTGTTGTCCATTCCTAATTTTGAGAAGGCTGAACTAGGCTTTCCCAACTCTTGTATTCAGCTGTAACATAATTGCTCAGTCCTGATTCACGCTAACCTGGGAGCTAACTTCCTTACCGACTAATCGAGTAATCGATGGAAATTCCATTGACTACTCAATTATCTTACTAATCACAATTTAATATCCCTGACCTTTAAGAGCACAGTGAGGAAGCTGCCCTGTAGTCCCATGTTGGTACTTTCACCCTAAGAAGAGATATAGAAACCTCTCTCTGCCTCCCCACCCTTGTATTTGCACACACAGCAGGTGGCTCATCTTCCTGGGTAACTGTTAATCCCTTTATCCCTCCCTGTGTGTGGGGAAAACCCTTGCACAGGGGCTGGGAGTGTCTCCTCCTTGAGCCAAACCCAAGCTCCAACCCCTACCCCCACACGGGCTGGCAGCTTCTCTCCCTGAGCCACACCCCAGATCCTACCCCCTCTGCACAGAGACTGGGAGCGTCTCCCTCCCTCTGAACCAAATCCTAGCTCCTACACACACACACACAGAGGCTGGCAGCATCTCCCCCAGAGCCAAACCCCAGCACACACCTGATTTCCCTCCCCAGCTCCTCTTCTGCTTCATCTTAAAGTTATTTGACACACACACACACCCCTCGGCCAGTCAATTTTAGCACCTTGTCCACCCCCCTTCCTGCTGTGATTTGCCCCAAACCTGTTTTTAATGCTTGTAAAGGGCCAGAAGCAAAATCCGGGTGAGTACAGCAGCTCTTACTAAGCATGCTCAGTTCCAGTTAGCATGCTCAATACATCCTAAGTAGCAAATTCTGACAGGCTGCTGTTTCTGTCATTACAGCACCGTTGGGGAGGGGCTGACTCCCTACCTCATGTTTGGCAGACCTTGGGGGATTTTGGAGGGGTGCGTTCACACCCTTTGCACACACATACACAGCCCCCCATGTACAGGCCTGAAGAGATGTGGCTTTTTAAAGTGGACCAAGTGCAGCTGCTTACCTTTTTGTACTGTAACATTTCAAGATATTGAAATATAGGTCTGATTTGTGATATTATTAATGCAGAAATGGGACTTTCACAGGGACCCTAAGTAATTTGTTTTTAAACAGCTATACATATTAGATGGGGGGGGAAATGTAAGTCTGTTTGATTATTTTGTTTTCCAGAATCTGCATAGATTTACCCACATTCCATCAGGAAAGTGCTTAGATCGCTCCGAGGTCTTACACCAAGTCTTTATCACTGAGTGTGACTCCAGTAAAGCAACACAAAAGTGGGAAATGAACAACATTCTTAGTGTATAGACAAAACAAACAAAAACCTGGCCTACTGAAACATTAATTTGTACAGGACTGAAAATAACCTGAAAACTGCTGCAACTATTGACTTTGTACAGCTGCGAGCCTGAAATCTCCCGACTTGGATGAAGGACATAGATGAACTGTGATATTACACTAATATTATCATCTGCAGTTAATGTTTACAAAACTGCTTTTACCTTAAACTTTGTAGATGTTTACATCTTTTTGTTTTAAGAGGTTGGGGATTTAACGTGCTCTTAGCTATGTTTATATGAACAAAGTTAAAGGCACTGTCGTCTTCTTTGGGATTTCACTCAGGGTCTGAAGGCAGTTTTTTTACACACACTTGAAAAGGTTGGCGTAACCAGATTTTCATATAACATGGTGATTATCAACCTGTTGTATCGTTTTATTTTACATCCTAACAAGCACTGCCACGGGTTGCTAGCCAGAGTGGCCTTCTTTCATATTCATGCTGCTTTTTTGGAAAGGTAGATTTTCAACATATTTAGTGCCTCTTTCATTTCTCTCTCTATATTACAAGAAAAACATTTGATGTTACGTGTAGTATGGATATGTTGAAACATCTTGGTGAGGATTAATTGTACCACCTGCGTAATTATCAAAGATAATTTTGTGTTGCCAATGTGACTGCTGTATTTACCACACATTGGTATGGCAAATAAGGTACAGACCACTTCAGAAATGCTGTAGTGGATTTTAAAAATATTTCAAAATTCCTCTTTTGAAGCTAGGAGCTATAATTTAATTGAAACTTTTTTAATAAGCTGAACCAAGTACACCGAATAGCATTTGGATGCATCAGGTATATTAGTGTCTATAGCAGCACTTTTGTTGGTCAGAGGTGTGGAAAAAAAATACACATGACTGAAATAATTTTCACCAATAAAAGTGCCGGTGTGGACAGTCAGTGGAAGAGCATCTCCTGCCAATATAGCTCATTGAAGATAGTTTAATTATGCTGACATGAGAGGGGCTACAAAGGAGACCTTACAAAGGAGCGCAGCTACAATGGTACAGCTGTGCTGCTGTAAATCCACGCTGTAAGTGTAGTTTTAGACAGCATGAAAGCAATTAAACATTTCTTTTCTTTGCAATATTAAAAAAAATGAATCTGAAGCATTATGTGATACATCTGATGAAGGGAGCACTCTGGATTATAGCTAAGAACTTACAAGCACTAACTTCTTTGTTGTATCATGCCTTACAAACCTCTGATATATTTTTAAGCTAAAGCTGCACAGTGTATAAAACTAAAAATGGTCCAGTATTTTGTGACATAATTAATATAAATTGAATTCATCTGGAGGTGAACTAAAACTTTAAAAAGAAAAAAAATCATTCTGATTAACATGGGTGGAGACTTTAAAGGGGCACTGTCAACTAGTTTTATATCCAGATTCTGAGACTATTAAGAGTTGATGACATCACGAGTGCCTTGACTTAATAGGAACCCTTTGCACCTCACAGGATCAAATCCTGAAAGTACGTTTTAGAACCAAATTCTGCCCTCATCTGCGGATTAGCATGTATCTATCATTGAAGTTGTGTGTCATATCTAAAAGCTGAGTATGACCTTTATACAACTATCTATATATGTTTTAGCAATGATTTGGGATTTTCTCTGGTTTCTTTTAACTTCTCAGCTGTCCTATTAAAAGGTGTGAAAAATAAAATTAGAAAATAGAGGAAGAAACTGGAAAAAGGAGAATAAGGGTATAGGTAACTTTATACGTGTGTATGAAAACTGACTCCATTTTTTTTGTTGGGTAGATTAATCATGTTACTATGCATCAGTGAAAAAAAGGTGGCATATAAATAGTGGAGGTGTGTATTTTAATGGGTATTTTGTGCAATTCATTAAAAGATACTGTATGTGCATATGAATCTGTATTTGAAATTGCAAACTACAAAACATGAGAACATCGAAAGCTGTGGCTGTAATGATTTTTCTTATTGTAGCCTGCTTGGGAAAGAAAATCCCCTAACTTGCTTTGTAAACGGATATCACTATGCATTTCTACACATTTTATAAATTTGATTTATGCAGATTTTGATACACTGTATGTTTCTGTAGAAATTGTATAAATCTTCAGAAATTTTATTAGGGATACATTTGGAAAGCCTATGTGCATCTTAATTCTGGGTTGCTTGTTTTCTAGGTGAGGAAAATAAAATATTTTAACTTGTGGGTTTGATATGCTTCTGTACATATACTGATTTAATATAATTACAGAACTTTTTCCCCCTGAATCTAAACTAATTTAGGCATCTTCAAATGTTGTATATTTTAAAGTACTTAAAACAGTGTTTCGCAAAGTGGGCCACTCCCCTTGGCTGGAAATTGTAAACTAGAGCCTATGGGAGCTGAGAAGTTCTGTAGCTATGGACCCTTTAGGTAAACAAAGCAGCCTAGGCCCACTAGCAGCTTTCTCAAAGTGGGCCATGGGCCTGTTTTGGGAAACAGATTTAAAAGCAGAGGATGCTGTTTTACTTTTATTCAAGTGCCCATTGTCCCAGAAGTCAATGCCAGATCTTCTAGCTCCTTCTGTACTGCACAGCTGGACATTGTACTCTACCATCCTGAGCTGATTAGACAAGAAATGAGTGATACCTATTTAAAAAACTTCTTCCAATGCTGTTGTGCCTCTAGGATATCAGCTTATTTTTCTAAGGGAGAAGAATATAAAACTAACACTCTCACACAGAGTCTGGCAAAGGCCATGGCAGTGGATGAGAAAGATTCCTGACCTCAAAAACCTTGACTTCAAGCTTCCTCTTATCCTAGGAAGCCTCTGATACCAGTAGAATTATTGTACCAGGGTAGAATAGGTTTCCTTAGGATATAGAACTTCTGACATAAGGCAGTTCACTACCAAAGGGAGACTTTTACATTTCAGGGATGCCATTGAAAAATGTCATAACTGAGGAGTTCCATTCCAACTCATTCTTTTCCCCAGTTCCAGTCACATGCCTGCAGCTGCTACCTATCTTTTTCAATGACAGCCTCCCCAACTTGGCTATCTTCAGAATCTAGACCAGCAGCTGCACCTCTGAAAATATATCCAAGATACCTCAATTACACCACCAACGTGGTGGTATGAGAGTCTACACACAGCACCAATGTGACCCCATTCAAGACAAAAATGTCATCTACACCTTGATATGGTAGTACAAAGGAATGCTTACACTAGGGTTTCTTCTCTAAATCTTTGCTGTCAACAAGACTTTTATGTTCAACTAACTTCAAAATTTGGACCACTCATCCAGCCCTGAACTTGACAGCAATTTGCAAGTCAGTGTGATTATGGCATATGCTTTTTAACTAGCAACAGTAAATGTTACCACCTCCTCTGAAATTGATGGTTTGAATGGAATCTGCAATAGATGGGGACAGATTGAAGGCCACAGAGTGTTAATGCCACACCTGTGGGAATTACAAATTAAACTGAACCAAAAGAATGCCTACTAAAGGAGCAGAATGGGGAGTGAAGTGGATTTTTGAGGTGAGGAATAAATATTCCCTAGAACATTATACATTCCATTAGGGCCCATTGGAGAGATGAACTGCTTTCTGTCTTATGGTCAATAGTGTATCTAATGAGAGAACACGCCTAAATGTCCTCCACAAAGACCTGAAGTCCAATCTGAAGCCTGAATCTACCATGCCGGGACTCGTGGGAAGCAAAAAAAATCTGATTGAAAACAAAATATGACCCTTTCCTCACTACCACTTTGCGTGAGTAAAAGTTGAATGGTCATCTTTTCAGCAAGATGCAGTGTTTCAAGCAAGATTAATTCTTGTAGGATTAATTTTACTATAATGGATTGCATGAAACCCAGTTAACAGAAGTGGTGACAAATTTTACTGTGATTTCTGTACAATCTAGGCTATCTTGGGTACTTATAGCCCTTATTTCTGTATTTATGTGCCTCACTCTTCAAAACTGTAGCACACAAAGTACTATTATCCACATTTCACAGTGGGACTTGATGCGCAGAGTAAGAGCTAAATTTCCAAAATGCCTGGACAGGTTAAGCAAATACTAATTGCTGTCAATGAGTTCAGGGCATAGGTGCTTTTTGAAATTCCCATGCAGTAACTGTATTTGTGTATAAGCACCCAGTGGCCATTAGTCATAAAACAAGCCAAATCCCAGGTTTGTGCTCTACGCACTAGTCCCTTGAATTTCCGAATCACTAGGAAAACATGTTCCCCAGAATTAGTGATAGCTATACGCTTCCACCAGACATGGAAATGTAACCACTGTTAACATTACCAAGATAGTTTTTTTAAAAAACTACACCTTTATTTTGTATGGGATAACTATTGGAATTTATGGGGAAGAGAGTAGGAACATATTCCTGAACTTGCCATAATACTTCAAGTGCCATCAAAATGACTTTGGAAAATCCCTTTTTAAGGGACTCAGATCAGTTAAGCACTAGTATATAGTTAAAACTAGGAAAGTAAAAATAGTGATAGAATAAGAGGATGTTACCTACAGAAAAAAATTAAGAAGCAAAGCTGTGTGCCTTTTTTCATTTTACCTGTCAGCTACATTTTTATATTTAGAGCAAAGCCTTAACACCCTACCTCAATCCACTGTCTGTCTGGGGCCTGCAACACCAAAATACCTTCTACACTAGAAGTTACTATAAGGACAGTCTTTCACTCAAAATGTTAATTTTAGGGGGTTTTAAACAAGGATCAGAATTAACATTAAGTCTCTGTAGTCTCTCCCCCTACCCCAAATTGTTTAATATTAGGGTGGGGGGAAAAACCTAGCTTATTTTGGCAGCAAAGACAACCTTTGGAAACAATGTTTTCAAACACCCATTCAGGTATTTTCATGGAACAGGAAGAGACCTCAGGAGGTCATCAAGCCCAGTCCTCTGTCCAAAGCAGGATCAATCCCAACTAAAATATCCCAGCCAGGGCTTTGTCAAGCCGAGACTTAAGAACCTTTAGGGATAGAGATTCCACCACCTCCCTAGGTAACCCATTCAAGTACTTCACCACCCTCCTACTGAAATAGATTTTCCTAATATCTAACCCAGACCTTCCCCTATTTTACTTTGCTAAAATTGACAACTTGTAAATAGAATCAGAACGGAGAACCCAGTTTCAAGCAATGTTTTTTTAAGCTCTGTGCATGAGAACCTGAATTCTTGTCCTGCCACTTCACTTACTACTATCTCAAAAGTTCCTATAAATACTATTTAGAATCCGGGCCCCATTCCTGTAATGCATTCTAGATTAGACAGTCCGAATCCAACATGAATTTCTAAGTAAAGGAAGTTTAAAATGTTAAATATAAATACCTAAGTGTATCCATTTATTGCTTTATGATCTTGAGGTATAATAGAAGCTTTTCCAAGAGAGAAACAGCAAAACACAATAATGTACATCATTTTATTACAAAATTGTTAAAAAAGTAATACAATGCAATAGTCTACAAAATATAAGGTCAGCTATTATGCTACTTCCTATGTTTTGCTCTGCTAAAAACATCAGACTATCTACCCATCACTGAATTTCAAAGAAACCATTAAATATGCAGAAACATTCCACAACATCCATTTTTTGTTTAAGAACCTAACTGTAGCGGCCATCAGCTACTACTTACATTAAAAAATATAGGTCTCCCTACAAAGAATCACATTACCTATACACAATTCTGTACAGTTTTTTTTATACTGAAGCTAACAATGAGCTGCACTTGAGTTCACATTCTTAGCAAAATATTGGACTTTGAGCACAAATCTTTACAGCAGAACATCCATTTACTCTTCATCTTCCTCATCCTCCTCTTCATCTTCCTCCTCATCTTCATCCTCCTCATCTTCCTCTTCTTCAGGCTCTGCCTTCTTCTTTGATCCTGTAGGCCTACCAGGACCCTTCTTTCCTGCATCACTCTTACCCTTGGCACGGTATGCTGCAATATCCTGAAAAATGTCATTAAGTTTCAAGTAATGAATTAGGTTCTCACAAACTCCGAGACTAAACACTAATTTAACAATTGTTTCCATTATACTTAAGTGTACAGCTTATGAATTGCATCCTTTAAGACACAGGGTCTCAACCTGGCATTTATGACTCGCCTCCTAAGGGATCTCTAAACCAGATTTCAGGACCTTCCTGCTTCATGTGTCCTGTATTTTAAGATGGGTGTTTTGGTGTGGAACAGACTGAGGACTACTGCAATATCTGGTTTGATTTTTACATGTGTGCATGTTCCCTCCCATAGTAAGACTTTGTCCAACCCATCTTTATAGGAATTTAAATTTCTTCAGTTTCCTGTTGCATAGACTATTTAAGATTGTGAGTCAGCAAGGGTTTTGTTTTGTATAATACATATGAATGAAATGGCAGTGGCATGTTCCTAACTGTTCAAACTTTGGACTACATATACATTCTTGATTGTACCTTTTCATATTTCTCCTTTAGTTTTGCTGCCTTCTGTTCAAATGGTTGTTTATCTTTGGCTGACTGCTCAGACCACATTTCGCCTAGTTTCTTCGCAGTATCCCCAATAGACAAGCCAGGATGGTCACTTTTGATCTTCGGACGATGTTCAGAACAAAAGAGAAAGAATGCAGATCTGATCAGGGAGAAAGAAAAAAAAAGATAAAGGTGTCACACTGACCAAAACTAAAAAAAAAAAAAGTTTTCATTCCAGGTTGAAGACAACACTTACGGTGGCCTTTTTGGAGCATTAGGATCCTTTTTCTTCCCCTTCTTCTCGCCTTTAGGAGGAATATAGTTTTTCATCTCTCTGTCATAACGAGCTTTATCGCCTTTCGCCAGATCCTCAAACTTTGATTTTTCTTTTGCAGACATGGTCTGCAGACACATTGCAAAAAGAGGCATTAGATCAGCTAAAGGCCTGGTGACTCATTAATGGCTAAGCAGCAGCTGCACCCGGGAATCCTTTTCTTTCCCACAAACCCTCATGAAACAGGCTGACGAGGCGATGGGGGAGGGGGAGTTACGCTTCGCAGACACGAGACCGCGCGCCGATCTCCAACGAGCTAGTAGGGAAGCCCCGCCCGCCCCGAGGTGCGGCCTAGGCAGTGGGCGGGCCCGGGCCCTCTCTCACCTTCCATCTCTCCGAGCACTTCCGGGAGAACTCGGCGAAGTTGACCGAGGAGTCCGGGTGTTTTTTCTTGTGCTCCTCGCGGCAGGTCTGCACGAAGTACGCGTACGAGGACATCTTCCCCCGCGGCTTGTTGGGGTCGCCTTTGCCCATGGCGGGACCGGTCACGGGGCCCTTGAGGAGACGCGGAGTGAGGAACGGGGCGGCAGCGCCTGCAGCAAGGCGGAGCCGAGGCCCCTCCCTCCTATCCCAAGCGGCGGCTTCCCGCCTAACCGCCCCCCGGCACGGCCCCTCCCTCTCCCGAGGAGCCAAGCGGCCTCCGACTCGAGTAAACTTCCACGGGGTGGGGCGGCCTCACCGGGACCAACAGGCGCCTCCACCCCTCCCCCACCAACCTCGCGGCGAAGCCGCCAACCCCCACCCCGGAATGACACCGCGTTCGTTCTCTCCCCGCTTGCACCGCGCCCTTCCCCCCACTCAGGGTGCGTCCCCAACCGCCGAGCGCTGCGCCGCCGACCTGGAGAGCCAAGAAGTTCTCCCCCCCCAAGCGAGCCCTCTAAACCCAGAACAAGCGCCCACTGCGCCGCAGAACCGCCGCCACCCTTCCCCCCCCCGATCCTCGCTTGTCCGGTCCCGTCCGACCCCCGCTGGCCCCGTCACCAGCACGGAGCGGCGCGGGCGCTCCTCAGGGCAGGGTGCAGTTGTTGGGCCCTTGCCTGGTGCGGTAAGAAGCGGCGATTGCGAGGCGTGCGGCTCTAGCGCTGGGATCTGCTCCGGCTGCCACAGCCAAATGGTTTCTCTCCGACGCACTTACAGCCTCTTGTTTTCCACAGTCCTACCCGGCACAGCAACTTGACCCACAAGCGCCTTCAGGTCCGCCTACGCGACATCCAATTGGCTCCCTTACCCGGTCGAACGGCATACGGTCACGCCCCCAAGCTTGGGAGTGCAATGGATTGGTTCCTGCCTCTCTTTACGTCATTCTTAGAGCAGCTCCTAAGTTAGGTCGAGCCTCAGGGGTTCGTTGGCTCCTGTACTCGTTGGAACCGGTTAGGGAGAGGACGGAGGCGGGAGTAAGAGCTACAGCACCGATTGGAGGAGAGCAAACAGTTTAAAAAACCGCGGGGACTTCGGCGATTGGCCGTAATAGAATACCCGCGCTGCGATTGGACAGAGCGGCGCGGGGTAGCGTGGTTTAAAACTACAAAGGGAGGGTGTTGGGGGTGGGTGATGCTGAAGTGAGAAAAACAAGAGGAGGTGACTGAGGAAGGTGCGGGAGGCGGGCAGGGCTTGGCCGTCTGCAAGGAGTGACGGCCGTGGGATCAGCACGGGGAGTAGGGGGACAGGTGTTTTAGGAAACTGACTGTTTGCCTCCTGCGAGCCGTGAGCAGAGGGGTTTGGGAGCACAGCCCAGGCCTTAGGGGAGGTGCGGACCTGGAGTAGCTGCTGGGGACGGCTCCTTCCCAGCATGCCCTGCTCCCTGTCCAAGGCAGTAGCTGGCGCAAGGTGGAGTGGAGCATGTCGGGACTTGTAGGCCTCTATGCTACCCTTGAACGAAAGTGCTCGGCGGCTGGGTTGAAAGCGCCGCGTGCCTCCTTAGCATAGTCGGTGACTTCTCCCACCCAGACGTTGCTGGGGGGGCCGCAGAAAACGGTTTTGTCTTTTGTAAACTGAAAAACCCGGAGTCCTATTCCCTTCGCCCCCGTGATGTTTCTGATTCGCTTTTCCTCCCTCGCAGCGTTAAATGAAAACGCGTTTCCCGCCGACTGGGTGCTGTTGGTTCCCTTCTCCCTCGGCGTTTCTGCCCCCTGGGATCGGTGGGGATGGATTTCAGTGGCAGGCCCTCGCTTGGGGAGGAGAGATTTGAAGAACTGTGCGAGAGCCTGGCTGACGGTTTGGTGGGAGAGGGGAATGCAGGAAGGCCTGGCTTACAGGCTTGGTTGGGAGTGAGGCGCTACAAGGCTGTTTGTCAGGCTTGCGCAGTTTGGCTTGGATAAACTTCAGACAACTGTGGAAACGGCTCATTGAAATGTACGCAGCAGACATCCCCACCTCCAGAGCGAGAGTGGCTGGGGAAACTGTCTCTTCGAGAGCCCGCCCTCCCCATACAGCGTGTGCGTGGGAGCTGGCAGCAGGGCCAGAGGTGGGTTATGTTTTGCTGATCCAGCTAACAACATGTACACAGCAAAGCCAGGTTTTAACTTTCACTTCCATGCCGCCTCCTCAAACCGTCAGAACAAGTCCACTTTCGTTATCTTTGTTAAATGAGGCTGAAAGCGGGACGCGTTTAGCTCTGTTCTGTGGCATAGGTTAGCTAACAGTTTCCAGATCCGAGGGAGGGTGCAGTTCCTGCTTTTAGTCTGGAGTTAGAGTTAACAGTTATTATTAGGTGGCATAGATGTTTGAAACCTCCTATCCCCCAATTGATTTGGATTATAATGCCCAAGAGCTCTGGATGTGTGGTTAGGGCTTCACTTCATCTAGTGAGCCCCCTGCATCAGCTAGTCCTTAGAAGTAAAATAGGTGATGTCTGCATGCTGCTTTCAAACTTTGCTTTATGAAGTGTTTATTTACTGTGCTTTCCCAGCTCTTCTGTGACAGCTGAAGTACTTCCTGGTGGAACCAGAGCTTAGAATTTGTGCAGCTAGGAAGTTTTGACCTCTTTAACTCCTCACATTTGGAGCAAACTTTCCTCAGTTAGAAAGTTTTTGCCAACCCTTTAGGAATGTAGGACACTTTTAACAGTGATTTATATTTGTGTATATATATATTAATTATCATGGAAAGTGTCTCAGTTTAAGACCACATGATAAGTCTATGATTGAGAAGGCTGGTAGGTTTCCCCTTTCATCTTTGGCACATGGATAAAAGGAACCAATTTCAAGGAAAAGTGTCATCTGGTTTTTGTTGTTTTCTTCTCTGCATAGAGAGCCATAGTTAAAATCCTAGAGATCATATTCAGTAAAAGTAAATCTGTACTTTGTAGAAGCTGTTAAACACCATCTGTAAAAGTTATCAGAGCAGCATGTTATACCAGGGGATGAATTTGTCCCTCAGAAATTAGATGCTATAACTTGTACTTGCTTTTATTTCTTTCTGTTCTTTTCCTGCTTTAGATCTATCTTTCTTTTGATACTAGCTCAATCTGTTGTCACTAAAGGCATGTTCAATGTAAGGTAACTTACTTCAGCATTATAATGTTATCTTCTCTACAATGTTTCTCCCACCTTTATAGCTAGATCAATGTAGTGATGGTGCAGACCCTTAATTGGCTTCCAGAAGCTGTCCCACAATGCCCAATGTAATCTTTCTGGTCACAATTTTCAACTCTGCTGTGTAGAGCTGTGGTTCTGGTGTGGAGCTGCAGATGTGCTGCTTCTACAAAAAACTGCATGCTAACCTTTTCAAATGTAACAACTGCTAAGATCTCCGAATGCTATCCCCTATGTTTTCCCCTGTGCTTTTGAACTTTGAAACCCCTTCCCCAGACACTGTGTTAGAGCTGCACAGTGGAATCGCTACACTCTGTGCCGCTACTGTAGATATGCTTTGCTGACACAAGGAGCATAATATGGACATGCATAATCTTAACTTAATTTTGTAGTGTAGACATACCCATAGATGTGTCTACTACCAATGCAAGTGCCCTATTACAATGATGCAGTAACACTGCTTTCTGCAGTGGTGCTGAGTCATGACTTATGTATTATGGTCAATATAGTGCACACACAGACACTATTACCTTTGTTGACCCTAATAGTACACTAGCAGCTCGCTCAGGTTGCCTGATACTGACCACTGTGGGTTCAAGATGACTGGAAGATCCCACCCCTTTAAAGCTCTGAATTTTTGAAATTCCTTTTCTTGTCTAACTTGGAGAACTACTGCATGTCATCACCATTGCTGTGTGCACCTGCCCAGCTAACCATCTTGGCCATATGCTCCAGGTTCTCTTGTGTTTGGAGTAGATAAGAGGGAGATACTGGACCTCTTGGAACTGATTGTAGGGAGAAGAGACTATGCAGGTATGGTTGTGGAACAGCTGTATAAATGTGGATATCTGCATTCCCTGTGTAATCTGCTTGAAGAAGGGGCATGACAGGGATTAGTAACAGTGCTGTATGAAAAAGAAGGAACTGCAACAGGCATACTAAATGGCCATGGAGGCCAACAGTGAATCCAGTGCTAAGCTGCAGTAAAAAAAATCTGCATGCCCTATTTGGTGGAGAGACGCTGCCATGCTATATCTCTATATACAAAAGTTTTTCCTGACGGATGACAGAATATTCCTGATGGGTAACAGAATTCACATCATCAGCATCAACAGGCTCTCAGCAAAGCAAAAAGAGACAGAGAAAGGGGAGCAGGCAAGCATGCAAACAGAGGGCGCAGCCCCTTAGTAGATTTCTGCGAATACCCCTGAGGTGCTTGATATGTAGAGTCCTGCTATGAAGAATGAGGAGGAAGAGGGGAAATGTGCCTTTGGGGGTCCAGCTGGGTTGTAATCCAGAGCCTGTTTGAGAACCAGTCAGTCCTGATAGTTGAGAACAGGGTAGCCCAGTGCAGGGAAAGAAACACTGTGTAGTGTGTCTGTGTATTTCCCATTACACTAATGTACTGATGGTGCATACAGCTTAGCAGGACTTGCCTCTGTGTGTTTTGTCTATAGCTTGCGGCCACTGAAGACTTGGGTTCCTCTGTGCTCATGCCAGAACTTGATGCCAAATGCAGGGGCAACTTCTGTACTTCTGCTTGATATTCCCTTATTTATGCATCCAAGGATTCCATTTGGCTATAATGTCGCTCAACTCTCCTCAAAATCGCTAATCTGCTTTTTCTTCTATGTCGGGGCCCTCGGGCACAGAGCAACTATCTGCTTCAAAGCAGTCTCTCTCTCACACCTGTGGTGATCTTCTCCAAGTACTCTGAGAGGGGAAGGCTTAATGGAAACCAGCCAATGGGAGCTGAGAGATTTGGGGCAAGGGCAGCATGTTGAGCCCTCCTCGTCCCTGGTGCCTGGAGCAGAGAGCAGCCAGCTATTTTGAGCAGGCAGAGAGCCTGCCTTAGCATCCTTCAGGGCTGCTAGCCAGGAGCCACCTAGATAAGTGCCTCCTGGCCACAGCCTGCCTCTGACATCCCAGCCCCTCCCTGCCCCCAGGCCACCATCCAAATCCTCTGCACTCTCCCTCCCTTCCACCCCTAAGTCACAACTTCCTCGAAGATCTTGCACCCCTATCTACAACCCTTCCAGGCTAGAATTCTCTCCTGAACCCATAGCCCCTTCTGGATTCTGCACCATAAATCCCTGCCTCACATCACAACCTCCTTCACGAACCACAATCCCAGACCGCACACCACCATCCATAGAAAGGTGAAGTTCCTGACTGCTTACCAAAAAGTGCTCCCATAGCAAAAATTATTGCCCACCCCTGCCCTATCGAGTTAGGTGGGAGGCCATGTGGTGTAGTTGGTTTATGTACACAGGGATGGCTGTTGGAACTTGGGAGATCTTAATAAAAGTTTCATGGAGTTATTCTGCAGTCCTCTCCTAGAGGTTTCTAAGGATGGGGGCCCTATTTCTTCCTCTGATATGACACTTTCACATGCCATTTGTCAATAATTTCAACAGGCATCATTGCAGGAAACAAGTTAACAGCCTATTGGCCATCTTGACTCTGGGATGACAGTAGCAGCTGTGCATGCTCTGCCTTTGCCACCCTCAGGAGTGAGATATCAGCTAAAATCATTACCAGCTGTGGACAGTGGTGCAGATATTCACTATTGTTGCTATATAGTCAGTTTCATGCAGCTGAGCAATTCACTAGTTTCCTTGTATCTGGAAGGCCCTATTCACCATAGATGGGGCTGTCCACAAGTACTCCACAGCACAAGAAGCATGGCTTGTTGAAAACTTATGGGGAATAAAGGAAGGGAATTCTGAGCCTTAACTTTCACTTCTTGTTGTGACCATACTGATGATAGTACCTTTGTGGGTGCGTCTAGACTGGCAAAATTTTGCGCAAAAGTGGCTGCTTTTGCGCAAAAACTTGCCAGCTGTCTACACTGGCTGCTTGAATTTGCACAAGAGCACTAATGTTCTAATGTAAGAATTCAGTGCTGCTCACGAAAATACTTTGCTCCTGCTCAGGGATAAGCCCTCTTGCGCAAGAGGGCCAGTGTAGACAGGCATCTTAATTTTTTGCGCAAGAAAGCCTGATGGCTAAAATGGCCAACGGAGCTTTCTTGCGCAAAAGTGTGTCTAGATTTGCATGGATGCTTTTGTGCAAAAGCATCCGTGCCAATCTAGATGCTCTTTTGCGGAAATACTTTTAATGGAAAAACTTTTCCGTTAAGAGTATTTCTGCAAAATCATGCCAGTCTAGATGCAGCCTGTGTGTTTTGTCTGTAGCTTGCTGCTACTGTGGGCTTATGGGGTTCCTCCTCCATACCCATGCAACACCTCAGCCAAAGAAAGAAGAGGATTTAGGGTGATATGTTCAGCAAAAACCTGCAAGCCAGCACCGCTCTGTATTTTGAGAAGAGGGCCTTGACTGTAAATATTTCAGATAGTAAGAAGGAAAGAGCAGGCAAAGTCCATGCATGAGAACTTTGCATTTTGCATCCTATTTATACATCCATAACATAAATACAGATTAGCAAACAGGAGCAGCTAACAGGGAGTTTGGAGAAGGAGTTCTCCAGGTAACGGAGGAGTAAATACGGGACCCTTGTAGTAAGTGGCTGTCTGTAGTGTGTGTTTGTGTGGGGGTGGGAGTGGTTATTTGCTGTGTGCTGAGTGTGTTTGTCTGTTTGGTTTGTTTGTTTGAAGGAGCTAAAAGGTTTGAAATCTAGAAACCTCTGTTAATTGGCTGATCCTCAGTCCGGGGGGGGGGGGGGACCCGGACGGGCCTCTCGAGCCCAGAGTCCACAACCAGGGAGCTTGCTAACAGGAGCACCTAACAGGGAGTTGAGAGGGAGTTCTCCAGGTAGTAAATATGGGACCCTTGTGGTAAGTGGCTTAGTGACTTTTTCCCACAAGTCTTGTTAAATTTATAATTTTGGGAAATTTTCATATTTATTTCATAATGTGCTGTGGAACTCTTAGCAGTATTGATAGCACTTGTTAGTGTACAGTGAAACAAAACACAAAATCAATAACAGTGTAAAATATAAAACAAACACCACACAATAAGTGCATTGATGATTGTATATTCAAAGGTGTACATCATGGACTACACACTTCCTAACATGTCCCACAACTGCAAGACCAGGTACAGCACAGTCCACAACAACACGTTACTGTAGCGTATAGGGTGTATTTTCAAGCATTGAACTCTTCTAATGGCCCTTATGTCTGGCTATTCATACTCAGCAGCCAGCTACTCTACTTCCACTACACTGGTATCTTTTGCCTAACGCTATGCAGAACATGGGAGGCAGTTTTAAACTTTTTCTTACCGAGTCTAGTCACGTGAATAAACAATTTTCAATCTACCAAAAGCACAATCTACTATCATTCTTTATGTGCTAAGTCAGAAGTTGTATCTTTCCTTTATGCTGTTAAACTGACCAATGTATGGCTTTGGGAGCCAGGGAAGCAAAGGGCAGACTGGGTTCCCCTAAAGCACTGTTGGCATTTCAGTATTGTCAATGGTAAGCTGTTGGTAGAAATAAAGTCCCTGCTTTAAACTTAAGCTTTCTGAACAGTCCTGTGTTCTTGAACATGCATGCAGGCAGGGCTGGCTTTAGGCCGATTCCCCAGAATGGGGCCCCGTGCCTAAAGGGGGCCCTGCTCCTGGGTGCGTGACGTACACGCAGTGCCCCGGGTGTGCAACACATACGGCATGCCGTCCCGGGCACCTGGCGCATGTGAAGTGCTATCCCAGGTGCCCGGCGCATGTGTGTAGCACATGTGCAGTGCCCCAGGCATGCGGTGCATGCACAGGGCCCGGGGCCCCAATCCTGGAATCGGGCCCTGCGCTCCTTAAAGCCATCTTTGCATGCATGATGCACCTTTCCTGACCAGCCAGTGTTGATGGTGGTGAAGCATTCTCAGTGACCCACGAATGCTTTCTTAGGCTATGTCTAGACTGCAGGCTTCTTTCAAAAGAAGCTTTTCCAAACAAGATCTTCCAGAAAAACCTCTTTCAAAAGAGAACGTCCACAGCAAAAGCAATCTGCTTTTGCGACAGCGATGCTATCTCGCATTTAAGTTGTGATTTCTATGGATGGAGTTGTCACTAGGGCACCTGTGCTTTTTCCTGGAGGCCTCTTCTTTTGGGAAAAAAACCCTCTTCCCATCCATACACACCTTTTTCCAAAAGAACTCTTTCAGGAAAAAGGCTTTTTCCTCATAGAAAGAGGTTTACTGCTCTTGGAAAACCCCCTGCGTTCTTTCGACTTTCAGTCAAAATGCAATTGCACTGTGGATGTAAATGTAGTTTTTCCAGAGAAACGGCCGTTTTTCTGGGAAAACTGCAGTGTAGACATACCCTGAATGGGAGAGTAGTTATTCCTGTTAAATTACTCTGGAGTAATGTGGGGAGGGGGTGCCAAAATACAGATACACTACATTCTTCACATAGCTAAGCATCACAGCCCTGTATAGCCGGAGACAATTAGTCCTGTGCATCAATGACAATGGTCCCTTCCTACTGAGAATTTTCCAACTCCAAAATAATTTCCAACTAACTGATAGGAATCCAGCTTTGCAAATTTTTATAGTGCAATGGTCACTTGTTTTTCCACTTTTAATGCAGCTCTCTTTCTGGTGTCTCTGTGCTAATTTGGATAAGCTCAATCAAGGAATGTGGCCTTTTACACCCAAAAGATCTAGACACTGCTCGTAGTCCCCAAATTGCATTACAGTGCAATCCTACTATTCAGTATTCATTTCTTGGGCCAGAAATGGCTTTCCACCAGCTGCTCAGAGAACACCTTTCAATTATTTTTTTATGTCCCACTGCAATCTGTCCTACATGAAACTCATGTTCCCTACTCATTTGTTTTTTGCAGTTCTGCACACATAGGCTGAACCTTCCAAAACAGCAAGACCATTGATGTTCCTGGACCAGAGAACTCCAGGCCAGGAGCTGAGTCACAGGAGATCTGGTAGCAGCAGAATCTGGGCCTGTGTCCAGCAGTGAGGCCAGAGCCAGCAACCCAGGTGGGCTGGAGCTGGCAGCAGGGTTGGGGGCTGGTGGGAAGGAACCTCCTCTAGTACAGAAAATTCCCTTGCTCAGGACTGGTCTGGTCCTGAGGGTACTGGACCACACGGCGTCAGCCTGCAGACTCCGCACCAGCACTGGCATCCCACATCTACTAACCACACACTTAGCACCAGGGCTTCAGCATCCTCTAGCCACCCAATGGGTTGTACCCAGCTTCTGCTCACCAAGCAGTGTGAGCAACGGCCAGAGGACTCAACTGGTGGGCCAGAGAGAAGCAGTGGTTTCCCCCTTCGAAGCACTGCTTCTCTCTGGCTGGCAACATTTCTGCCCTCTGCTCCTCTAGCCTGTGCTTCCCACTTGCTGAGGCTGCAAGAGAGCTGCCCTCTTGGCCCTGCTTCAGGGTTTCCAACTCTCCTGGACCTGATACCATAGAAGCAAATGGTGTCCGGTTTGTCCACTCTGGGAGAGTTGGCAGTCCCCTGGCCCACACAGCTTCTGCCCCTGCAGCCTGCCTCCCTCGCCACAGAGTCCACGCTCCCCAATGAGTGAAGAATGCCAGGGCTGGGCTGTGTAGGGCACCAGCACTTCTAGGGACAGCCCTGCCCAAGTGCTTATCCAGGATATTTGTAAAGCAAGTGGGGAAAATGCAGGATAACTTGTACAAATATTCGTATTTAACTTAAATATGATATTCAGGATCTAAACTGGAACACTCTGGTCAAGCAGAACCAATGATGTTCCTGGCTAGAGAGCTCTAGAGCAGAGAGCCCAGTGGCAAGGGGGCCAACATCTGGGAGTGCTGCTGGGCTGAAAGTGTGGTGGCAGGGGGACCCACAGACAGGAGTCCTACTGGGGCCGGCGTCAGCGAGGCCAGCGTCTCGCAGCCCATCCAGAACCAACAACCCAGCTGGGACAGTGGTAGGAGGGGCAGGCAGTAGAGCAATGGTCACCAACCAGTAGATCGGGATCTGCTGGTAGATCTTGGAGCCTTTGACAGCTGATCCTGACTGGTTTGGCCAGGAGGCTGTCAAGTACCGGCACTTCATCTATCCCTCTCAGCACTGCTCCTGCCTTCTGACTTGGAGCTGCACCCAAGCCCTGGGAGCCTCTTTCTTGCTGTGCAGGGCACAGGAAGAAGAAGAGGGGTTGCTGATGTCAAGGTGCCCCTTCCCCCCCCCCACCCTGTACCCCAGCTCCACAGAGCAAAGCGGGGCAGGGTACTGAGAGTGTTGGCTGGCTGCTTTTAGGAGTGGTGCAGGGCCAGGGTAAGGGTGAGCCTGACTTATCCCCCTGCACCACCATCCAGAAGCCACCTGTGGTAAGCAGTGCCCAGCTGGAGCCTGCATTCCGAACCCTATCCCGTCCTGAAACCCTCCTGCACCCCAAACCCTTCCCCTAGCCCTGATTCCCTCTGCACCCAAGCTCTCTCCCAGAGGCTACATCCTCCTGCACTTCAGCTCCCTTCCCCAGATCAGCTCAGAGCCCTTCCCACACTCCAAATCCTTTAGCCCAAGGTCAGTGTCTGCATCCCCCTCCCTTGCGCCCCAGCCCTCTCTACCCCCAGGTTCTGCCCCCAGCCTAATAAAAGTGAGTGAGGATGGGGGAGGGACTGAGTGAGCAGGGGCGGGACCTTGGAGAGGGGTGGGAAGGAGGCAGGGCAAGGGTGTTTGGGTTGGAGGTAGATCCTGGATTGCACTGAAATTCAAAAAGTGATCTTGTGTTTCAAAAGGTTGGAGATCCCTTCAGTAGAGGGACCAGTGTCCGGGAAGGCCAGCCAGGGTTGGCAGCCCAATCAGGCTGAAGGCAGGGCCAGAAGCAGTGGGAAAGAGGCGACTGGCTGGGGGGGCAGTGGTAGAGGATCTCTCCTAGTCCAGCAAATTCCTTTGTTTGGGACCAGTCAGAGTCCCAGGGTGCCAGACCAGGGAGGTCCACCCATATTGCACTTGTTCTAAACCTGTTTATCATTGTGGGCTGAATGTGTTATGTGAGCCATGAGGCTGAGAACCAAAGCAGTCAGACCTGGATGCTGGAACATGGGGCCAGGCAGTGAAACTCAAGAATCAGTGTTCTTTGTAAGCTGTATGCTTGTGTGGCTGCTCAGGAGAAATTCAAATCCTGCCCAGATAATTGGCAGAGCATCTGCAACTAGGTTTTTTTTATTTCTACTGGTGATGGACCTTCACACATGCCTTGGTGCACATACAAAATTATTCCACACATGGATGGAAACGATTAGAAGGAACATTACCCAGAACCCCTGCCATGCGGGGCCAGATGGCTGGACCCCGGGACTTATCCCCCTGTGCTGGGCCAGGCAGCCAGAGCTAGACCCCTGAAATCCTGCTGCGCGGGGCTAGATGGATAGCAACAAGACCTAGAACCCTGTTGCACAGGGTTAGATAGCCTGCGGCTGGGCAGCCAGACCCTGCCCCTGGAGTGGCGCCCCACCTAAAACTAGGGGATGCTGCACACCCTGGCAAAGCTTAGTTCCAGAGTTCCCCCAACCTACCCCCCCGGACCCACTCTCCTACTCCTTCCTCGCAGCAGCGCTTCTGCAGGGCGTCCTTACTCTCTCTCACTCCCCCTCAGCCAACCTCCACCCCTTTCCTGACCAGCATGACAAATTTGGAATTTTAGTACACAGCTGGCCTGCAGCTGTGTGTTAACTGGGCTGCACATGGCCCAAAGCTGCATGTTGCAAACCATTGCTATAGTGAATTTCCTTTAAAAATAATCACTAAAAATGACAAAATCACCAGTTAAGGACACCACAACATGTGGATTATCCTCCGCTCACATCAATAACATCCAAACATCCTAAGTACCGAGGCCTGATCTTAATGCTGACCTCAGACTTACTCATATAACGGTACAAATATCTTAAGAACATAAGAACCGCCATAACGGGTCAAACTAAAGGTCCATATAGCCCAGTAACCTGTCTTCCAACAGCGGCCAAGCCCAGATGCCCCACAGGGAGTAAACTGAACAGGGAATCATCAAGCAATCCCTCTCCCATCACCCATTCCTACTCATCCTGGTTAATAGACCTAAGCTCTATGGCTACGTCTAGACTGGAAAAGTTTTCCATTAAAAGCATTTGCGGAAAAGAGTGTCTAGATTGGCACGGATGCTTTTCCGCAAAAGCACTTTTGCGCAAAAGCATCCGTGGCCAATCTAGACGCTCTTTTCCGCAAAAAAGCCCCGATCGCCATTTTCGTGATCGGGGCTTTTTTGCACAAAACAAATCTGAGCTGTCTACACTGGCCCCTTTGCGCAAAAGCTTTTGCGCAAAAGGACTTTTGCCCGAACGGGAGCAGCATAGTATTTCCGCAAGAAGCACTGATTTCTTGCATGAGATCGTCAGTGTTCTTGCGGAAATTCAAGTGGCCAGTGTAGACAGCTGACAAGTTTTTCCACAAAAGCAGCTGCTTTTGCGGAAAAACTTGCCAGTCTAGACACAGCCTATGAATTTATATAGTTCCTTCTTAAACCCTGTTAAAATCCTGGTCTTCAGCATATCCTCTGGCAAGGAGTGCCACAGTTTCACTATGTGCTAAATGAAGAAAAACTTCCTTTTGTTTGTTTTAAACCTGCTACCTATTAATTTCATTTGTGACCCCCTAGTTCTTATATTGTGGGAATAAGTAAATAACTTTTCCTTACTCACTTTTCTCACACCAATCATGATTTTATAGACCTCTATCATACCCCTCCTTAATCTCCTCTTTTCTAAGATGAAAAGTCCCAATCTTTTTAATCTCTCTTCATATGGGACCCATTCCAAACCTCTAATCTTTTTTGTTGTCCCTTTCCGAACCTTTTCCAATGCCAATATATCTTTTTGGATATGAGATGACCACATCTATATGCAGTATTCAAGATTAGGCATACCATGGATTTATATAGAGGCAATGAAATGTTCTTTGTATTCTCTATCTCTTTTTTAATTATTCCTAATAGTCTGTTTGCTTTTTTGACTGCCGCTGTACATTGAGTGGATGGTTTCAGAAAACTATTCACAATGACTTAAAGATCTCTCTCTTGAGCAGGTGTAGCTAAATTAGTCCCCATCATATTGTATGTATAGTTGAGATTATTTTTTCCAATGTGCATTACTTTACATTTATCTACATTAAATTTCATTTGCCATTTTGTTGCCCAATCACTTAGTTTTATGAGATCTTTTTGAAGCTCTTCAAGGTCTGCTTTGGTCTTAACTATCTTGAGCAGTTTAGTATCAACTGCAAATTTTGCCACATCACTGTTAACCCCTTTCTCCAGATCATTCATAAATAGTTGAATAGGATTGGTCCGAGTATGGACCCTTAGGGGACACCACTAGTTACCTCTCTCTTTCCTGAAAACTTACCATTTATTCCTATTTGTTTCCTGCCTTTTAACCAGTTATCAATCCATGAGAGGACCTTCCCTCTTATCCCATGACAATTTACTTAACAGCCTTTGGTGAGGGACCTTGTGTCAAAGACTTTCTAGAAATCTAAGTACACTATATCTACTGGATCCCCCATTGTCCACATTTGTTGACCCCCTCAAAGAACTCAAGTAAATTAGGCATGATTTCTCTTTACAGAAATCATGTTGACTTTTCCCCAACAAATTATGTTCATCTATGTGCCTGACAATTTTATTCTTTACTATAGTGTCAATTAATTTGCCTGGTACTGACGTTAGACTACTGGTCTGTAAATGGAAGGTTCTTCTTCGAGTGGTCCCCGTGGGTGCTCCACTCTAGATGTTGGGCTCGTCCCGGCGCCGCTGATCGGAGGCTTTTCGTAGCTGTAGTCGGCCGGACCGCGCATGCGCGGCAGGCTTCGCGCGGTTTTCTCAGTCACACGGTCCAGCCCCTCAGCCAGTTCCTTTCAACCGTCCTAGGCTGCTGACAGAGATGAGAGTCTCTCCTCAGAATTAGCTTCTTTCTGTAGAAAAGTTAAAAGAATTTCATTAGTTTCCTCACCTTTTACTTCATTCGTTA